ATATTCTAGTTAATGTCATCGTCAATTTTTTTTTGCATAATTAGTATAAAACCTGTCAAAGTCATGATTTCTTATAACTATGTTTAAGAATGTAACATACATAGAACCTATTGAAATTAAGTCTTAAGGCTTTTTTGCGCAATCCAGATTAAGTATATTAAGTATCAACAATTGTTTCTATGGTTTTAGTATGTTAAGTATTACAACAAGTCTGCTATTGTTTTTATACTACTGCAATTGAAAGTATCTATAGCAATGATGTCATTAACAAAAAAAAAGGAGTATCCCGACGCAATCAGTTGTGAGTTTAAATCGGAATCCAACAATTATTAAAAACCTAAAAGAACTTATACGTAATAATACTCTGAAATATCGGCTGATGTACAGTCGATGTTAATATTTACTTAGTAAATGAATTTCGATGAATGACAAAAACCGTTTGATTATAATAAGTTACACCTCAGAAAGAAAATAAATGATTGTCTGCGCTGAGTTGGATGTTATATACAATGGGTATTACTATATGATTGTCTTAACCGTCTGGGAGATTGTGACCCAGTAGAACCACTTTCCTATTTTTCTTCTAATGATTTTGTCATTCTTGCTACTGGATGTTCTGTCGGTAATTCTCCTGTCGGTTGTATCGATTCAGAAGTGGTCGTGTTTTGTTCTACAAATTACTTTGTTCGGATATTGAATCATTTTGTCCTTCCGCATATCGCTCTGTTTCAAACGATAACAGTCGCATTTGTTTTGATAGAGGAGCTCTTTTTCTTGTTGGAAATAAAGACAACAGTAGTATACCGCTGTTCGAAACTCATAAATCGATAGAGATAAAAACAAATCCGGGTTACAAACTAAAACTGAGGGAAACGCATCAAATATAAGAGGAGAACAACGACACAACAAAAACACAACATTAAAATGTAACACACAGAAACGAACTATAATATAACAATGGCCATTTTCCTGACTTGGTACAGGACATTTTAAGAAAAAAATGGTGGGTTGAACCTGGTTTTGTGGCATGCCAAACCTCCCGCTTTAATGGCAACGTCAAACACAACACCAAAACGACAACATCACATGACAGGACGACAATACAAATAAATGGGAGAACATATAGGACAAAGAAACACACGAATAATAGCTAACAAAAGGTACTAGGCTTAAAATTCAATACGCCAGAAGAAGACTGTTTTATTTCAAGATTTATTGTCAAAGAGATTTTTCGTTCCTCGCTGATTTGATGACGACCTTCTGATGTTGGATATCTTGGGATGATCTAAGGACACCAGATTGCTTCTCTGTAATCATTTGTCTTTCTTCATAACGTGACTTGCGTAGTATATCATAACATGAGCTTGTGTCTGACGATTTTCTTCTTTCCGTTTGATTATTTCTTTCATTTCTTGCAATCGAACTAATACCGGCTCATTTCTAATGTTAGAAACAGAATGAATAAGATTTTCAATTGAAGGCCTACGCTCCATTATCTCATCAAGACAATCTTGTATTATATCCTTTGTGCTTTGAGATAAACTTTCTATTGTATTAGGACAGCCATTTAATCCATATGGCTTGCAGTTATCGATGAATTCCGAAAGAATTTGTTGACGTTGGCCTTTAAACGCTGGTCCCACAAAAATCTCAAATACTAAAAGACCAAAAGCATAAATGTCCGCACATGCAACATATAGGTCTCCATTTAGAACTTCCGGGCTGAGGTAAACGAATTCTCCCGCAAGCACTCTATCCTTATCTTCTGCTAATGGGGCGACCTTCGACTGGCATGCTCCACAGAGTTTAACAACATGATTGTCGTCCATCTAAAAAAATGAACAATATAACTGAGTTATTTTACCATGACTATGACAAGTACTACAGACATGCGATATTGTTCTATTATATATATCAGCATTCGGTTAAAAGGGTTATATCATTTAACATGACACATTTGAAAAACAATGATATTATTATTTTCCTCTGTTTACATTTCAATTCTTTTAAATGAGTGATACAAATTAAGAGGTTAGAATAAATTTCCCGAGTATCCGTTTCACTGAAAGGATAAAAGAGTATAACAAAAATGCCGAACTCCAAGGCAAATTCAAAGAAAGGAAGTCCATTAAACTGACAAAATCAAACTTTAAACTTTATCAACCAATCGAATTGAAATCAAATGTCATATTCCTGACTTGGTACAAGCATTTTCCAAAGAGAATTATGGGTTAAACCATGGAAGTAATATCGAGTCAATATAATATTTCCATGGTTAAATCTGGTTTTATAGCTAGCTAAACCTCCCACTTGTATGACAGTAGTTTATAGTTCCGTTATATTGAGAGTTATTTAAAATACTGAATGTCAAAGAATATATATAATAAACTTGAAACATTTATCAATTAATTAACATCTTTTCTATTAAATGATGATCGTATTTAGCGCTTCACAGTGCTGTTGAAGGCAATTTTTACAAATATTGCAATTTGAATATATTCTTGATACGTTCATCGAATGACATCTTTAATTATGAATGAGTTAATTAGTATCTGAAAGACAGCATACAGAATTATTTTCAACAAAATGTTGTTTTTTTTTATTAAAAAAAACCCTTCTTCTATGTTTTTTTTTATAATAAATAGGTCTTCTCAAAAGACTGTCGACGGTGTGGGAGCATAAACTATTGTCAGGTTGAAGATGTTCATCTAATGGAAAATACCCAATAAAGTCTATAATGGTAGTTCTATATCAATTTAACGATGATAGTATCCACACAGTGTTTTGTGGATATAGGTGTTATTTTATTAGCATTCTTTGAGCTTTTTTCCTTCATTATATTCTAAAATTCTTTCTCAACTGTTTCTGACAATCTATCTTTTGCAGACAAACGTAAATCCTGTCAAGTGTTTATCTGAAATTCATGGTAGCCCAAAGCCTTACAATTATTTTCCTTTGAATTACGCATCGTTAAATTTGGAAATTTTATATTGAAGAAGTTTATTTAAACACTTCACTATTTTAAATTTGGAAAGCTATTATTGACTAACTATGTTATTCTTATAAACCAAATGCCGGATCTGATTTGATTCTAAAGTAAGCGGTAAACAGAACCCCGTTTATGGCAATACTATCTGTTGATATTAATTTCAGCGAATACAGAAGTAATTCATTTTCCTGGCATTAAGTTCTCCTTTTTCTGCCCTTAATGTGAAGCGCTTTGATTGGATGCATTGATATATTATACGTATATCTTTTTATTTTATTTATGAATAACTGCCATGTGCATATGTACAGTTTTGAAATTTTGATGGAAATGATTTTTGAGAACTTTTCGAAAAAGCTGATGATTTGATGTATAATAATGGTTGCTATGGATAATATAGAATAGCTCAATATGATGATGATCATGCCACCATTTAACTTTGATTTCTGACACAGAATTATTAAGTATTTCTATCACACATAGCTTTCGAGTATTTATTTTATTATTCGACGTGTGTTACTGGATTACAATTATCAGACATGATCAAGACAAAATATACAATACATATGACTTATATCTTAAATGTGAATATTTACCACAATTGTGTTCTGATTCAGTTCCATGTGTACGTACCATTTTCTTTCTGTGTATGTATTCAAGGCCGTATATAATATTCTTAGTATATCTTCCTTAAAATTCACAAATCTGCTTTTTATAAACCGACACAGTGGTCTGAGATTCCCGTGAAACACAAAACTTGTGTTGGATGATCTGAGTTCTGGATGTCTAACAATTCTGCAACATTTTCATTTTTCAAAAGCCTGAAATCAGTAAATAGATAACACCCTAGAAATAGAATTAACTCAATGGGCGTTGAAAAAACATTTTTTTAATTGTATGTCATATTATTTTAGAAAATCATTTAGAAACAAGGAATGTATCTCCCTGATGCAAAGCTCTCATTCTTTGTTTGGCTATACTTTTCTCCTCAAATGGAGTATTAGTAAAATATATAGTGGTTCTGTTGATTGTTTATTTTAATATCTCATCTGCAACATGCTGTGGTCCATACTGTTCGTTGGTCTTTGTGTCCGTAAATTGTTAGGAAATAGGATCCAGAAAGTTTTCCTTTATTTACTATTTATCTTTTGAGTGAAGCAAGGACACAGGATCTGTATTTTCAGGAATATGGTAGATTGATGTGAAGCATCATATATCATTATACATTCATGATTATTTTATTTAAAATATTGGTAAAATGGATGATGGTATCTCTTTCTCTTTTTTTTGTCATTTTTGTCATTAAGTCCGTGTTGTATTTAAATGTAACTTTTTCAAGGCACAGATCATAATAAAAAGACTCGCACTTTACTAGATCTAAATTTGTTCCTGTAATTTCATTTACTTTCTAATTAGTTTTGTATGCTAGGTAGCCTTAAACGAGCATGAACATTGTGAATAATATCAATATCATATTATTAACTCAATTTAGCTACTTCTGAATCTGTGTTTTCTATTCTGGTATTTTTTAGGTCGATCCTTATAGTTATTGGTTCTTCTTTGTTGTCCGCCATAAGAATACCATTTTGTTGAGCAGATCATAGACTTCTAGGAATGACTTTCTGGTTCCATGTAGAAGATGCAATACTCTCGAGTTTTTGGGAAACATCAAACGGCATTGATGATGGTCCTTCACCATGTGTTCTAGTAATTATTTGAATTTCATCAACACCAAAGTCATTCACAAAAATGTAACCTTCACCATAGTCTGTTACCGTTCGCTTTAGATGCATGATATCATTTGTTCATACACTTTACGAGACGACGAACGCTCCTTTCGGCACATGCATATGTGATCCATGTTTTTCTGGTTTGTTTCCACCATGGCGGGAATTTTCCTTTTGATATCTTTTGAAAATCTTTTGGTTCTCTCATAAATTCACTGATCACTGTTCGAAGATGATTCTCCTGCTTATCGTTCAAGAATTTATCAAGCGTCTTTTCCGACCTCCTTGTTGCCCAAGTTATTGGATCCCGACGATACTCTTTAAGTTTACATTTGTTATGTTTATCATAGAAAATACTGCTAACCTCTTTTCCAGCTTTTCCAAATGGTTTGAACATTCTATTAACAAGTTTAACTGGAAGTATTATTTTTGACATTTACGTTTGAACCGCACCGATTGGAATAGAGTAACTTCTGCCAGGTTTTGATTTTGGACTGAATGAATCTTCAAATGTTATGCTTGCTGTGTCTGACTGCATTTCATCCTCAATATCTTGCAGTTCGTTTTCCAGAATATTCATTTGAAACTGAATGGACCGCTCGACATTTTCTTTGACTTGTTTTATTTTTCCTTGTTCATCTTCCCAGTATTCAAACTCTCTTGAAATCCTGGCGACTGTCAAATCTTTCATGTTTGCCTTTAAATCAAAGTTTTTGAAATATTCAATATACGGCAATTCATATTTATTCCAAGAAGTGATTACTTTTCGAGTTTTTGGCAACTGTAAGTACTTACTAAATTCCTTTATTTGCTTTCTGATGTCGTTCATAGTAAGTTCAGAATTCACTGTAAGAGTGTTAAGTTTATCCCAAACACTTATCATCTTTGTTTCTAAGTCTTTTTCTGAATTATCAATTCTATGAACTATTGTTTTTATATGGTGAACGCTTCTCTTCAAAACAGTTGCAAGCCATCTAAAAGTAATAAAAGAAACAATTTTAGACCGTCTTAAATATATTGTTTCATCATATGGACTACAATTCGGATTTCATGCTGGAGTACTTTTTCTTAGAATGCAAAAGTTTCTAAAGCAGAATTGACAAGGAGGAACATTCACCTGACATGTGCTAGAATATGCGCTTACGTAAATACGTGCAATGTATGTTGTGTGATCGAGGTTACATTGACGTTTATCCCATATATCGTTTTATCAGTGTAGATATTTAATAGTCATTTTTTTAACATTTCAGCAACAAAACAAAAAATCATCCTTTGGGTTTAACTTGTGACCTGTATGCTACCACCTGTCATCTTGCAATCCAATCAACACGGCATCATTACTCTTAAAGTAATCTTTCGTCCCTCTTTTAAAGAGGGTCTCCTCCAAATATTTTTTCCTACAGAAGTTTTAATGGTATGTTATGAAGCTTCTGTTGAGAAGATGTTTGAAATTTGATAAATCACATTGATTTGTATGTGTGCTCATTAAATCAAAACGAAATATGAACAGCCCTTAATTTTGGAACCGACATCAAAACAAAAATTACGTTATCAAATGATTCCCATAGACGGAAAAGTTTTAGATTTTTTTGGTGCTTATCCGTGTTAGGTGCTACTGATTAATCTTTAACAGCTGTTTTAAAGGCTTTGGCCACAATACAGGATATAGTAAAATGTATGTTGATTCGTTAATAAAAGTAATATGATAGTTCAAAATTATCCAAAAAGTGAAATATGTTTTGTATAACCGAATAGTTTTTACTATAAAAACTGTGTGCATAGACTTCTTTTGACATGAAACATCTTTTATTTAATCCAAATCTTCAGGAAAAATTTGTGCTATTGAATTTCTGTCTGATCATGCTCTTAATTCTGTTTGATACCTTGCAAGTATGTTATATACCAAATATGATAATCATATTACTCATAATAAGTAAGTATTTCACAGTGCAAAACAACTATATATTTTATACATGTTATAAAGCATCCAACTTCTGAAATATAAAGTTTTATACAAATAATTTACACCGCCGCCGGATACTAATCACTATGTCTCGCATTCTGCGACTTTCGGCGCAGGCGAGACAAACACGCGCACAGAGGATATAGTTTAGTATATATGCATGCAGTAGTTCAATAATTTTCTGAGCATTAAGATCACCAGAAACCTGTTTCATAAGACTTTGGAACTGCTTCTTGAGCTAAAATTAAAAAAGATACCGAACTCCAAGTAAAATTCAAGAAGGAAAGTCAATCATCAAATGGCAATATCAAAAGCTCAACGTCTTTAACAAGACATCCTTTTGAGTCTCCTTTCATGTGTGTCTTTGTTTATTTCGCCATCAGAAGGGATTCAAGAGGAAGTCTTTTCGCTTCTTTTATATTTTATGTAATGAAGTAAATTATCAATACTTACTTATAGGTAGAAAGAAGACGGGTATTCATTGCTTTATTGTACATGGTTCGGATATTATCCAGAAGCTATTGGTAATTGTCAACGATGAAGTCACTGTCGCACTCAATCTTTGCTTTGACCCCTGAAAACTTCATGAGTTGAGATTTTGTCATATTCGGCCATATTGACGTCAGTCTGTGATGTGCAAGATTAAACACTTCCCCGGTTTGATCTTCTGCCAAAAGGTCACAAAAATTACAAACAAAATGATCGCACTGGAAATTGAATGGTAACATTTCCACCTCGGTCTCCTCCTTTTCTCTCTCAAAAATTGTTTTTAAAGTTCTATTAACTGTTGATTTAAAACAAAACAAAAATATATATTTACACCATTACCGTAGGAAAGGATTACTTTGGTATCCGTCAACGTACACAGACCTTTTAATATTCGCTTTCCAATTTTTGAATTTTTTTATTTAGCTACTATGTTGTTTCTATTGTAAAACAGATGTTTCGTTTCCCATTCGCCCCTTTCCCACTAAAACTATTAGAATATTATCCCGCAATGATTGGAAAAGGGAGCTACATAACATTTTTGTTATGCCCCATTTATGAGCATTTATTTTCGGTCTGTGGGTTCGTTCGTCCGTCGTTCTTCCGTTCGTCCGTCTGTTCCGCTTCAGGTTAAAGATTTTGGTCAAGGTAGTTTTTGATGAAGTTGAAGTCCAATCAACTTGAAACTAACTTAGTACACATGTTCCCTATGATATGATCTTTCTAATTTTAATGCCAAATTAGAGTTTTGACCCCAATTTCACGGTCCACTGAACATAGAAAATGATAGTGCGAGTGGTGCATCCGTGTACTATGGACACATTCTTGTTTCAATTACATTTCCATACATCTCACTTTTGTGCGATTATTGTTTTTCTTTCATTTCTACTCCCCCCCCCAAAAAAAAAAATTATAAGGAATTGAAACATGGTCTTCTTCCGACCGGCTGTAAAACCCTGCCCAAAGTGGGGCATCAGTTTTTAATGTGCGGGGTGTATAAATGCGCAGCCACGTCTGGACAGAATGGGGACGTTAAATCCGATGCCTTGTGTACAGAGAGTGCCACACTCTCTGCCCTGTTAAGAACCATTCCGACAACTCGTTGGTGGGTTCGTAGGTGGCCTGTTTCTAGGCTTAGTTTTTGTTCATATCCGATATAATCCTTTCCTTATTTTCTTTCATCCCGGTCGATCACTTTTACAGGACCTTCCTATTGTATTAATGTTAATTTGCTCTCCTCCTAAACATGCCTGAAATATCTGCCACTGGCTGTAAAACAAACGACAATGAGTCTTTCACACTTAGTGGTAATATAATGATGTGTTAGAATTGTCACATGTTTCTTAACAGACAAGTTTGAATGATTGAATAGGACTAATAATCGAATTCGGACACGATATGTGCAACAAGAGGGATGCCACATGTGCAACAGGATCTACTATCCTTTCGCGAGAACAATAGGACACCCCCACCCCGTATTTTGATGCGGTTTATGTCACTCAGTCTTTATTTTCTAATAAGTGTTTTGTAGACTTTTGTATTTCCGTCGTTTTTCGCTTTGCAGTGTTTTTTTTTATGTAAATCATAAAGCTGCAATTGATAATTTTTACTTTCCGAGCTGAGAAACTAAGATACCAAGGAGGTAATCAAGACTAGCTAAGTGTTAAGTTCTATGTATGTAATACACGTGTATTGCATCATAATATCATAATAATAACTGAAAATAACACTAAATTTAATGCATCCTAAGCGCTTTTCTAGACTTTTTTTCACCAGGAACGCTTCAACCCAAAAATTTGAAAGCTAAGAGTTAAGGATAGTTAATTGTTTGCATGTGATAATATTCAATAAAACGACGGCTACCTGAAGACAATCAGAGTGCAAGGTTCAAGCAGGTCTCAAATTTGCTAAGCTCGTTAATAAAATGTGTTGACCATTCGATGGATAGGTTTATTGATTTTGTTTATTTCTATATAATTTGCGTATCGTTTGGTACATGTCATGGCACTATAATAAATGCTGAGTTTCTTATACCGGAGACACAACATGAGTAAATGGATAGTTTTGACTCTCTCTGGAATATTACGGCAAGCTGACATGGTAAATGTGTTTTTGTAATACGACAGCCAATCTGTTGGATATTCATTATAAACCACTGTATATATTATATTGATACTCATTCATCAAACATACCGGCTGCAGTTCTGAAAAGTAGAGAGAACGTGACAGCTTCATTAATCGTATTTTCTGTATTGATGTTAAAATACTATTTGCTCAAATGGGACTTCAAATTTTATACAGCAGATAAGACTTAGAATATTCCAGCCTTTTTGAACCTAAAACATTTACGTATTATGACCTGAAATCTATAGAATTGTGGCAAAGAGTACTAGTCTTCCTTCTGTATGATTTAATGTGCATTCGGCTGAAAGGGCTTTCCAAACGAGGACTTCCACATCCTGATTAGAAATGGTACCTTTTTGAATAATCATCAGTTGTTCTCTCAAGCAACGGAAAGTCTAGCCACTGCAAGAGTCAAATGGTTGCATATGGTATATTTACTTTGCTTGAGTAATATAGATTCTTATGAAAATTTCAATGAATGGTTTAAATTTTTAAGTGTGGGTTACCTCTAAAATTCTAGCTGGCAAATGTATGCTAACTTCTCTTATAGCTTTCCGATACCCATCAAAATTATCAATTAAAAATGGCTCCAACTTTGAATATATTTCTCCAGCGGAATGTTCTTGATTTTTTCAACTTTTCCACTTTTATATATTATTTTAGCTCGTCTCTGTTTATAATAACAAATCCGCAAAATTGTTGAAGAATATCTTCTAAAAAATGTCGGAACAACTTCTTCACCTAACAACAAGTTCACAAACTAGATTTTCCAGAGAGAGATTCACCTGCATACATTAAATAACATGTTGTTTTGTAAGGAAACGTATGTTATTTGAATATGCAGTAGAACGAAAGAATATCCAGTTCTTCTATTTTGGTTTAATTTTTAGGAAACATAAAACAGACATATTATTGTTTAGGATTTCCTCTTTATTGTGTTGGTAGTAAATATTCGTTTTTCCAAGTAAATGTTATATATATATGGGTAAAACTCTACACCAAATTGACAATACATGGTGTACTGATCTTAAATAAGATCTAAATAAATAATATTAAAGAAGTTCATTTAAATCCTATTTATTCGAACTATTTAAAAACAATCTTTGAAGAAAACCGACATTTTTGAAAAAGTGTTTCAATTAAACTCAACATGATTCAAACTTAATTGAAACAGGTTAAGGTATGAAAGCAACTGTTCAATCAGTAAACCAGGTTATTTCTAAACATCATACATACCATGAACAAAAATAGTGGATGCGTCACGCCTTAAAGCTTCTTATTTATTGTTGATATCTAGATCCAAGTTTTGTATGGTTCTTTCTGATTCAAGGAAACCTTTGATAACATCACATGCTTGCCCCGATACAATCTCATTTCAAGTTTCTTCTGTAACTTGACCTAATCTGTTTTTCATGTCCATCAGAAGTTTTACTAGTTTTTCTCTCTTTTTCCTTTTTTCTGTTTTCATTGAGATTATTGAATTTTCAACCTGCAGTGAAAATATTTTTGATACGTGAATTTGTGTATACGAATGATTGATCGAAACACCACAAGAAAAGGAAATAATCAAATTGTCAAGTAAAAATCCAAACAAATAGACTCTTCGACTTTTTTACACAACTCATTTATAAACTACAAATGTACTCTATATATCGCTACCGTTCATTACAAGTTGAATTAAAGAGTATGTGCTGTCTTTTCCGTTTAAATACAACAGTTAAAATTATTCAGTAATTTAGATTAAAGAAGGCAAATTTCAATACTGTGGATTCATTTATTTTTATGAATACAACAGATTATAGATAGAGTAAAATTGTATTTTGTAGTACACTTAAATTCATGATAACATCAACCAGCAACATTCACGAAAGTAAGTACCAAGCAAATAATGACGATTGTCTCTTATAAAAGTATAAGATCATTTTCAAATATATTTGACTTAATATTCGATTACTTAAACAATTTGCAATGATATCATTCCCGTTTTAGTTTGCTTTCTTTTGAATGGTATTGTCTGTCTTTATATGACTTATGGTTTGTCATTGCCCCATTGGTAACCTTCTGACACTAAAGATCATGCTAACTTACTTCAATAGGTGAAACGGAAAAGAATCTGGTTTGATGTCATATTGTACAATAGATAGTATTTCATTTATCTATGGATAAAGGTCAACTAACAAAATATTAAGGACTTAACTACTAAATTTGATTCTGAGCTCGTACCACAAGTTTTCGTAGATTTACCTATTGATCTCACGTGGAATACATTTAAGATTGGTAGTTATGATATATTAGAAGATAATAGTCCAAGCAAAATGACTAAGTTGAAATATACAAACACTTGGGCTTATTGGGATATTGATAAACTCTTTAAAAACAGCGGTAAGCTAATTTTGGGTCCTCTATGCTCTTCAACTTTGTACTTGTTTGGCTTTATAAATATTTCGTTCTGAGCGTCACTGATGAGTCTTATGTAGACGAAACGCGCGTCTAGCGTATTAAATTATAAGCCTGGTACTTTTGATAACTATTTTAACACGACAAAAAAAAAGAATATATAGATAGATATAATAAAATCAAAACAGCAAAGAGGGACAAGAACAGCTCAGAGTAAATATAGTGAAGAAGTTATTAGACTCCAGTTAGATGAAAAACCAAAACCTTTCTGGCCATTTATTCAAAATAAGAAATCAAAGACATCAGGGGTTTCTGCGCTCAAAGGAAACGATGGTGTATTATACAGTGATTCTGAAACGCAAGCTAACATCCATAATAATGAATTTTAAAGTGCATTAATTTGCGAAGATGCATCTTTTGTGCCAAAATAAAGGTTCAAGTCCAAATCCTACTATTCCAGATATAAATATAAATCATAATGATATTTTAA